ACAGGTTTTTTGTTATACTGATAACATCAGGCATGTAATGTTGATACTCGTAACATAAGGTATACTATGTTGATACTAGTTACACCTGGTACGTTATGTTGATGCTTGTTACATCAGGTATGTTATGCTGATACTAGTTACATCAGGTATGTTATGTTGATACTAGTTACATCAGAGTAACTTGGTGATACTAGTTACATCAGGTATGTTATGTTGATACTACTTACATCAGGTATATTATGTTGATACTAGTTACAACGGGTATGTTATCTTAATACTATTTACATCAGGTATGTTATGTTGATACTAGTTGCATCAGGTATGTTATGTTGATACTTGTTACATCTGGTATGTTATGTTGATACTAGTTACAACGGGTATGTTTTCTTAATACTAGTTACATCAGGTATGTTATGTTGATACTAGTTACATCAGGTATGTTATGTTGATACTTGTTACATCAGGTATACTATGTTGATACTAGTTACATCAGGTATGTTATGTTGATACTAGTTACATCATGTATGTTATCTTAATACTAATTACATCAGGTATGTTATGTTGATACTTGTAACATCAGGTATACTATGTTGATACTAGTTACATCAGGTTTGTTATGTTGATACTAGTTACTTCAAGTATGTAATATCGATTGCAGTATTATCATATATATTATATTGTTAATGAATCTAGGGGTTGTTCGCAAACCCGTGTTTCAGTGCGTTATAATCGAAATGATGAATTACGTATGCATTAACACCAATAGATTTATATAGAGATGTGGTTAAGGTAACTAACCGGGGGAAGCCTGACCTACCTGACGGGTCTGTGTAACGCCACAGCTTCTATATATACCCGACACAGCCTGGCAGGGTTAAAACGCCTACAGCTCTTGTATTTCTTTTATTACATCTTTGCCTTGTTTAATATAGGAATCTATCAATTTGGAAAAATAGCCTGGTATCAGCATATGAATTATATACAATTTTAAACTAGAAACCATTGTCTTTATACCTAGCTGGTCGTTAATGGTGATTTAAAATATCATTTTGTTTTACACTTTTATCGAAACATGCCTTTTATAACAAGAATTATATTTTTAGATAAGAGTAATGATTCAGTGTTTATATTAAATATGTCAATTTACTTTTATAGTTCAACATCTGATATTTTCACACAGTCGAATGTTATATATAGGTAATGAATTACAAACGAAGTGACTTGGCTAATAACCTTATCATTGTACGAGGCAGGAAATTGACGCTTTTACACACATTTAACCTTCTGGTGACGCGTCATTCCCAAAGTCAGACTAATGAAGAGACAAACTCTGACGTCTCCAAGAGGAACATGTACTAATTATATTAGGGTCCTAACTAAATAACCCCAGTGCCCCTTCCCTACTCTTCTAGCAGAGGAAACAGCATAACTCATTATGTTAATGGTCACTTATGAAGGATAGTTCAAACAAAATAGGACCAAACTCACGTTTGATTTATAGATTTTAAAAATCAAGAACACAACAGATTATTTTACATCATCTACTTATCTCGATCCTTTCTCACTCACGATGTGATCGACGGAAAAAACCAGCGACTGAGTTTTTTTTATCAGCAATATCATCCTTACTATTGTGGTTGATGAACGGTGTAAAATCCCTCCTGCTGTCAAAGCCACACTGTGTTAACATAACGTCGTTTATCCGTAATTTCTGTTAATTATATCAACAGCTGACGACAGAAAAATTTCAAGAGATAATGAAGACTATTTGGATTTTTCTGAATATTTACATTCGTTAGTATACCTGCTGGTTTTGTCTCTTTGTAAAACATTCTCACTGTTTGTAAAACACTTCCTCGTCTTATCGAATTTTCGTTTACCTATACTTCATTGTTTACTACATAAATGAATAATGAAGTAATACCGACAGAACGGACAGGTAAATTGTCAAATTTTCAAGCCAATCTGTCCATTTATCAATACAAAAAATACTACAAAAGTTCAGTCACATACATAGAACATAAAAAAGACAATGTTTACAAACTTCCATCGAGAACGTTAATACTGAGTGACCAAGTAATCATCATGGACACCCGGATATTCAAAAATGGGTCTTCCTTCGTCTGTTGTGTTATCATGTTCAAAGATATCAATTAATTAAAACAATGCATCATAAACAGTAATGTATGTCGATCCGATGGTTTCAGTTTTTAATTACCTGTCGTAATTGTACCCGTGTTTGATATATATTCAATATATTGTTTGATATGTTTATATATGTAAAGCACATTATTACAACTATATCAGCATATGTTTCCTTTAGACAGATAAAGCTCCGTATACAAAATGTACATGTTGGATTCGTGTTTTACTTTTATATAACTTACAAACAACAGAAAATTTATTTTCAAAATAAATTGGCAGTATTACGAATACATTTCCTAAAGTGATTTTCATAGGTAACATGGGTTAAATCTTTAGAGAGATAATATCATTATACAGAAATCAAACAAGGTGTTTTTATACGAGAATCTAAAATAAACAGCAGTGAATCAAAGTGACGGAAAACGTTAATAGTTCTCATCAAAGTGTAAATTTCATCATCCATATTATATACAAGGTAGAGCTGGTTGAATCAAGTTCCACACTATCAAACACTTTATGTCCCAAAATAGATATTAGTGAACAAAGAACATATTTTTCACATATGTATTAACACAGAGATGGCAATGATATTGGGAGACCTCGACCTTTCTGTGGAAATTATAGGTTTCAATGGAAATTTCCATACCATTCAAAACTTCATATATGTATATCATAGGACACATACCCATTTGCTTATCAATATCTAAATGATTTTTCATCTGAAATAGCTGGAATTTCATTGCGAAAAGTGCTAAAAGGTGTTTTGTTACTAACGACCATACCTGTCTTGTAATACTCTGATTAATAGGGGAAATGCCGTGACCCAAATACGCTCGATATTACAGTTTTGTGATCGTTGGATAAAGCTGGAAAATATATTTAACACCAAATACAAATAATACAATTATCTCTTCCATCTATCTCTTTTACCACATTAAAATTACTATGTGTTTTGATGTAGGCAGGCACTGGTAAGTTTTTTTGATAGCGTGATTGAGTGGTAGCCTCAATATTCTGTAACAGTCATAAGCCTGATAAATAAAGAAATAATCTGTAGATCAAGTAACGTAAGTTTATTGTGTGTTGTGTAAAGCACGTTCAGACTTGTCAGCATCGTATGATACTTTGTCGTATGATGATCGTACCACACCATGCGTTAGGCATGATACGTGAAATGGACTACTTACAGAAGCTGACTCTTCCCACTTGCTTTGTCACAAATGTTTTTTTTTAAATGTCTTTGTTAAATTCCACAAATAATTTCAATGTTTGTTCCTTTGATAAAATGTCAAAACCGTAAATGTCATGTCCCATATTATAAATACAGGACGTCAGATCTTGTCAATCTCCTGTAGGAAAATTCCTTACCCAATGATCGTGATAATTTTCTATAGTGGGATAGCGTCTAATCCCAACAAGTCTAAATATAGCATGTCTAGCGCGAATTGTCAGTCTTGTCAGCTCAATACAGCGTCAGAAATGATTGATTCCGTTGTTTATTCATTGAGGTATTGCTATATTCGAGCTCAGAAATCCAATAATTACTAGTACAAGTCGCGTTATTGTCAATGTTGATTTTACTTTGAAGATTTTCTCTGGTTTTCGTCATGTTGTACGTCCGAGTAAGCTAAGATGGCGTCGTGTGTGTACACTTGAAACAGATCATCTGTCACAGCGTACTCAGCTGGCCTCATAACAGAAAACATGAATGAACTACTGCACAAGAGATTTTTCTCAACCCTGTCTGACCATAAACGCCTACCTTTACAACGGTTATACGATTTTGTCAATTGGTAAAATAAGGAAGTTTGCATTCAATATGACGACAAGCGTACGCTTTGTTTATTGAAAGTAATAATACACAAGTTAACGTATTCATAATTGTTTTTGACTTTGACTTTAGGTATTACTTTCATTATAATTAATGAAGTATAGTAAGCATTCAAAGAACAAATATTAAGTGGTAAGTAGTGTTTTTTAATTCCATTTTTTTCGAATCTGTAATCCTAATGGCAGGCAGCCATCATATATGTTTTCGGCGGTTGTTTCTATACAAGGGTTCCGGTAGTCGCGCGCGGAATTTAGCATGATGCAATACTTCTCCCTGGGAACTGTGTCAGACCTTCTGCTCCAATTATCTACGATTAAAAGACACAATCACACGGGAAGGCCTGCCTCACAAAGCGTCAACTTTATCTCATCTTCAAATTTTATCCAAAAAAGAAGATGTCGTTAAAAAACTATTAAACATAGTTCAATGAGTGAGTTACAATTTGATAATGCTTTGAAACTGTTTTAATGTAATTCACGGTCAACGTTGTTAAAGAAAAATGGTCATGAAGGACAAATGTATTATCTATTCATTTACATAAGAATGATGGTTTGGTAAAAATATTTTTATTGTGTTAAGATATTCTCCTTATTGGTCTACTTCGTTGAAATGCAGATATCAGACGTCTCATTGAGTACAAATATACGAAAGATATAGATGCTCTCTCACATGTCATTGCCGTCCATTTAATTTACCTGTGCGAAGAACGATGAATTCACTGTCATATTATGAATACTTTTTTGTTTTGAAGGACATCCAGCCGTCTGTTCTGTTTCATGGGGAAAAAGAACTACACGCCTACTGGTGCATTTAATTAATAACACCCAATCTGATTGGTTGATATCAATTGCCTGGCACGTGGCTACCTCTGAAAAAACATGAATGATTTTGTTACATGTTTGTGTATTAATCGTAGTAGTACAGTCGGAGGCGTGTCAGAACAGCCAATGAGCAGTATGCTAAACAACAGCCACTCCCCTTGACGTAAACAGTGTCTATATAACAGTGACTGGTGATATGTTTAACACTATCGCTGTTGGAATCACATCACCGAAAACGCTACCTTATAGTAATTATCTATTTTCATAGTTTTAATTTACAATAAGTACAGGATGTACAACATACGACGAGCAGCACAACGATCAACATTGGAGCTGTGAAGACCAGTCAGCACTTAGCAAACTACGACAAGTTGGATTGGTAGCTTGATCGATTGCAGTCTTATTTTTTCTGTAATTTTTTTTGATAACGACAAATCACTCTTTTTCTGTCTCTAACAAGTTTGAAAAAGATTTTAAGAAACTGAAGATGTTTCTGAAGGATTCGAAATCGATTAGTGAGAACATGAAAGAAAAAAATGTGCATGGACGTTCAGGTAACATCACAAGAAATCCAAGTAAAGCGATGTCTTGTATACGAAACCCAATCACCATCAAGAATTCCAAAGTGACAATGTGTGTGCTTCTCGTGTTGCTGAACTTTGCTATACAGGACGTGCAGGCGGTACCATGCAGAGGTGGATGTCAAAACAATGGTATGATGATTATGCCCACCTCCCTGTTTGGGTACTGCCGGTGTGTATGTATAGGGCCATATGCAGGACCCACATGCGAATTTAAAACCAAACGACGGGTCAAAATACGAAAACTCATCAAGATTAAGGGCACACTAAAGGAACTGATACAACGACGAATGGAACAGAAAGAATGAAAATCTATAAGCTGTCCAGGTACGTTTTGATAAGGTTTGGTCATTATAATAGATTTCCAATGTGTAATTAATGAAAATAATGATTAAATCCTGATGGTATATGTACAATAGGGTTACGCATGGCATTAGCCACTGGGGGGAATTGTTTGCCGATATCTGTTGCCAAAGAGATGGTTATTACAAATAGATGTACCCAATTCTTCAACATCATTTGAAATTCATTAAAATCGTGATTTAGAAATAGCTTTTCGATGTACTTACTAGATTTACAATATGATTGATTTGATGTTGAATTGATATCATATATCTAAATCATTATACACATGTCAGCATATGTCATTGTAAGACCGATGGTGTTGTGCTTTATGTAAGTCCTACCAAGGCCACTCTGTCACCAGTTATGTAATCCTCCACTAAGTCGGGATGAGGTTCTGACATATACAAATGTTTTATATGTTAACTTGCGAAGCCATTTCAACATCATCCTTGTTTTATTTGATATTTGATATTTTATTTCCTCTATTTTATTTGTCCGCCAATACAACTTTATGAAGGATGATTTATACCTAGTAGTTTTACCCCTCTCGATCCCTCCGTCTAGCCGACATTCCTTCGCTTAACCTACATACTGGTTCCATAATACACAACGATTAATTATGACCTAAGTATTCATTACAGCCCCTATAGTAAAGGTTCGCCAACCAATTGACCATGGAAAACTGGCATGGAATTCTAAGGTATAGATTTAATTTGGCGACCACAATCAAAATTGTTTGATACATTGTACCACACTTACTGCACCAGTCCCCCGGACAGTAGCTGGTATGTGTTAATGGCATATGGACGCTATATTTAGTAATCATAATATTTACATATCCAAATGCCGGAAACAATGGAAATATATATGCTTCAGATCATTTGTTATACATATTTGAACATCAACTGTGAATCGTGTAGGTAGCGGACTTAGGGAACGCTTTACAAATCATACACTCCCAACCTTTTCCACAAACACTAACAACCGAAGTTAAATCATGTTCACACCTACAATTACCTGCTGGAACGTCCTTGCAGTCTAGTGATAAATCATACAGCGTGTGTCATACTGGAAAATGTTATCAATGGTATATTGATTAAAATATTTACAAAAGAAAATCAAAGTGAAACACAATTAAAACACGATGAGCATGTAGTGGATTATCCGCCTGTCGTTGTTGCAGCTGCAACAGATGGTAGACAGTATGACGAAATCCTCTGAAAACTTACCTCACTACTGTTTACTATACGCATTCTTTAAACGTATATATACACGACATAGCAACCCACAGGAGTGTTTATTCTGAGCTACACTAACAAATGTACCCTGTTTGGATGAGATATATCTTTTTCTGTGATACTGTTACATTTTGATCGTAAATATAGTAGTGTAGTACAGATTTATCAGATAGACAATAACCCTGAGTGTTTCACTAATGTCAAACATTAGCAGGTGATGATTAGTAGTGTTGGCTGTCAACTGCCGTGTACTTTACGTTGACGGATTAATGTATATACCACATAATGAAATGTTTTTCTACCTATCATTGTTCAATATGATATGCCAGTTGTAAATCTTAATAAAAATTCTTTTGTAGTTTGTACTGACGTTAGGTTTCCTTCCTTTTGATTTATTTGTATCAATCCATACAAAATACAGATTTTGGCGTATTTCAAATATGGCTGTAAACGAGATAAAGACTGAATTGACTTACCATTCTCTTCAACCATCTGAATGTTTCTGTTATTCTGTGGAGAATTTACGCTCCTTTTTACTACAAACAGAAAATAAAGCATTTGTCGAAGGTGAAGCTAAACTCATGCATTTTCACAAAACAAATGTGCCAAGCATCAGATCGGGGACTAGGAGTATCAATACATCGTCTATAAAAGAAATAAATATGGACACACCTAAATATCACACTCATCGATTACTAATCCTACATCTACCATTCATTTCCATCTCCTTGTAGCACACGCACCCTTTCCCTTTCTGTTTTTCAATATGCTTCTCAACTGTGTCTAATTCGATCAGGGACTTATCGATAGGTTTAATGAGTGAATATTGCTCAGCATGATACTGGTGGGACCCCCAATAGCCCACGAAACAATTGCATGATTTCTATCAATTCTAGATACAATCTGTGTTATTATTGTATTATCCTATTCGTTTGTATATAATTGACGTTTATTATTGAATTAATGATAATGTTTTCAATCATTCTGTATTTGCAGATAAAAGACCTTTAGGGACTGCTGCGACCCAACATTCCAGACCCCCGCTACGGTAGCCTCTCCAGTGCTAGGTCCGAGGCGTGATTACTCAAAGTCCATGATGAATAACCGCTGGACAGGCACATCAGTCGAGAGTACCTGACTCCTTCCTGGGGTACAGACACACGGAACCTCCCTCGTACACTTCCCTTTTCTGGGGAATGGAACTGTTGTCTTCTCTTTGTGAATTAGCAACTCCTGTGTTCTATAAAATGGACCTGTCTCTTGATGGTGAACCAACTCCCGCGTTACATCATCCCGAACGGACTGCTAGTGAACTAACTTACTGATTCTGTTAATTGGAACTCACACTTCTTAAACAACCTTACCCGTTCTATCAACCGGAATGACGTCTGTTAGTGAACGAACTATCTTTCTCCTTTGGGATAAAATTGTATATCTACTCTTGAACAGAAAACATCCCTTTCCAGCGGGTACAAATGCTTTTCGGCTGAAAAGGCTATGTTTGCATTGAATTAATATGTAATTTTGTTCCACAAAATAGCGATTTCTATACACCTTACTCAGCAACTCTAAAAATATAATCTTGCCTTCAACAAGTGGACCAGTGACGATCCTCTTAAAAGAGTAAACATGTTTCTGAGCAAATATTCCTTTACAGGAGTCTGTCTCTGCCTAACAACCACTCAGCCAGCTTTAGCCTTAGGTAGTGACGTGTTTTCAATGCAAAGTTGTTTCATGTTTTTTTTACAAATTTTATTTTTGTTAATTTATTGAACGTTTTCATGTTATGTGGTGTTATGCAAATTCATTGTACCTTAAGTATGAGAATGACATAAATCATTAAAGTGAATGAACGCATAAGCTTTCAGTTTTAGTTTTGATTTCAATTTCATCTAATCTTTTGTTTTAGTTTTGCTTCTATAGTCTTTTTTATATAAATCTTGCGCCTATTTTAATTAAATGGACGAAGACTGCACGAAACATGAACACTAAGCATACCGAAACAAACATCTGAAATACGTTTAAACAGCTGATACCAATAACCGAGCCATCGGTAATTGATATACCTCCAACGTCTGTATATCACTTAACTTTATTGGATTCATATCCCGGATACAGCTTTTTTTTAGTCATATTTAGCATAATATGACGAATGTTTCTATCAGGTAGTGTATGTATAACAACTGTAAAACAAATTAAAACACTATACGACTATCAAATGTTTTTAGAGCTCCCTTACGAGCATTTATATGCAGTAAAGAATCCTAGATACACTGGGATAATATAAAATCGATATACTGAGGTTTTCGGAGTAATATGTTAACCTTAAAGCATAATACCATTAGGATTTGTAACGTTATTACGTTAGAAAATGCTGCAAACAAGGAATACATATCGTTGAGTCAGGAAATCAGCCTTTTACTGTCCCGGTAAGATTTACGTGTAAAAAATTTATGGGTATAAATATAATATTTCCGTTATATCTTTGTGTTATGATATATGAAGATGACTTGATACATTGGAGGTACAATGTATATTGATTTCATATCCATGATAACCAATTAATGACATTTTAGAGTAAGAAACTCAACAATAATTTATGTATAGCAAGAATACGTTATTATCGGCGAAATAGATTAGTCAATGATTCAAATTATCATAGAGTAATAGTATAGCATAAAGGCGTATCACTTTATACCACGTATAAACTCATCACAGTCTTGTTGTTGATCTTGCTAATATTGAGCCATCAATGTGCAATCACAATTACGCAATTAACTCAATAAAAACGTCACGAACGCTTTTCTACTTTGTGATCATAGTACAGGTGTTCAACTTATCTCAGCAGTACATGTTTCCGTGAAAATGTATGTATTTTTTCGAGCATATCTAAATGACGACATAAGTTCATGGCTGTGAACCATGTTGGAGCATATTTCGTGATAAGTCTGTTTAAAACCAATTAAAACATACCTAGTAAGAAGTAAAAAACAAGGAAAATAATGACGGTAAAATCAGGTGTAAAAAGAGGAGAAATAATGACGGTAAAATCAGGTGTAAAAAGAAGGAAATAATGACTGTTAAATCTGAAGTAAAAAGAGGGGAGATAATGACGGTAAAATCAGGTGTAAAAAGAAGGAAATAATGACTGTTAAATCTGAAGTAAAAAGAGGGGAGATAATGACGGTAAAATCAGGTGTAAAAAGAGGGGAAATAATGACGGTAAAATCTGAAGTAAAAAGAGGGGAGATAATGACGGTAAAATCTGGTGTATAAAGAAGGAAATAATGACGGGAAAATCAGGTGTAAAAAGAAGGAAATAATGACGGTAAAATCTGAAGTAAAAAGAGGGGAAATAATGACGGTAAAATCTGAAGTAAAAAGAGGGGTGATAATGACGGTAAAATCAGGTGTAAAAAGAAGGAAATAATGACGGTAAAATCAGGTGTAAAAAGAAGGAAATAATGACGGTAAAATCTGAAGTAAAAAGAGGGGAAATAATGACGGTAAAATAAGGTGTAAAAAGAGGGGAAATAATGACGGTAAAATCTGGTGTATAAAGAAGGAAATAATGACGGAAAAATCAGGTGTAAAAAGAAGGAAATAATGACGGTAAAATCTGAAGTAAAAAGAGGGGAAATAATGACGGTAAAATCAAAATCAGGTGTAAATAGAGGGGAAATAATGACGGTAAAATTTGGTGTAAAAAGAAGGAAATAATGACGGTAAAATCAGGTGTAAAAAGAAGGAAATAATGACGGTAAAATCAGGTGTAAAAAGAAGGAAATAATGGCGGTAAAACCAGGTGTAAAAAGAGGGGATATAATGACGGTAAAATCTGGAGTAAAAAGAGGGGAAATAATGACGTTAAAATCAGGTGTTAAAAGAAGGGAAATAATAACGGTAAAATCTGAAGTATAAAGAAGGAGAGAATGACGGTAAAATATGATGTATGAAGAAGGAAATAATGACGGTAAAATCTGAAGTATAAAGAGGAGAAATAAAGACTGTAAAATCAGGTGTAAAAAAAAGGAAAATAATGACGGTAAAATCTGAAGTAAAAAGAGGGGAAATAATGACGGTAAAATCTGAAATAAAAAGAAGAGAAATAATGACGGTAAAATCAGGTGTAAAAAAAGGAAATAATGACGGTAAAATCAGTTGTAAAAGGAAGGAAATAATGACGGTAAAATCAGGTGTAAAAATAAGGAAATAATGACGGTAAAATCTGGTGTATAAAGAAGGAAATAATGACGGTAAAATCAGGTGTAAAAAGAAAGAAATATTGACGGTAAAATCTGAAGTATAAAGAAGGAAATAATGACTGTAAAATCAGGTGTAAAAAGAAGGAAATAATGACGGTAAAATCTCAAGTATAAAGAAGGAAATAATGACTGTTAAATCAGGTGTAAAAAGAAGGGAAATAATGACAGTAAAATCTGAAGTAAAAAGAGGGGAAATAATGACGGTAAAATCAGGTGTAAAAAGAAGGAAATAATGACGGTAAAATCTGGTGTATAAAGAAGGAAATAATGACGGTAAAATCAGGTGTAAAAAGAAGGAAATAATGACGGTAAAATCTGAAGTAAAAAGAGGGGAAATAATGACGGTAAAATAAGGTGTAAAAAGAAGGGAAATAATGACGGTAAAATCTGGTGTATAAAGAAGGAAATAATGACGGAAAAATCAGGTGTAAAAAGAAGGAAATAATGACGGTAAAATCTGAAGTAAAAAGAGGGGAAAATAATGACGGTAAAATCAGGTGTAAATAGAGGGGAAATAATGACGGTAAAATTTGGTGTAAAAAGAAGGAAATAATGACGGTAAAATCAGGTGTAAAAAGAAGGAAATAATGACGGTAAAATCAGGTGTAAAAAGAAGGAAATAATGGCGGTAAAACCAGGTGTAAAAAGAGGGGATATAATGACGGTAAAATCTGGAGTAAAAAGAGGGGAAATAATGACGTTAAAATCAGGTGTTAAAAGAAGGGAAATAATAACGGTAAAATCTGAAGTATAAAGAAGGAGAGAATGACGGTAAAATATGATGTATGAAGAAGGAAATAATGACGGTAAAATCTGAAGTATAAAGAGGAGAAATAAAGACTGTAAAATCAGGTGTAAAAAAAAGGAAAATAATGACGGTAAAATCTGAAGTAAAAAGAGGGGAAATAATGACGGTAAAATCTGAAATAAAAAGAAGAGAAATAATGACGGTAAAATCAGGTGTAAAAAAAAGGAAATAATGACGGTAAAATCAGTTGTAAAAGGAAGGAAATAATGACGGTAAAATCAGGTGTAAAAATAAGGAAATAATGACGGTAAAATCTGGTGTATAAAGAAGGAAATAATGACGGTAAAATCAGGTGTAAAAAGAAAGAAATATTGACGGTAAAATCTGAAGTATAAAGAAGGAAATAATGACTGTAAAATCAGGTGTAAAAAGAAGGAAATAATGACGGTAAAATCTGGTGTATAAAGAAGGAAATAATGACGGTAAAATCAGGTGTAAAAAGAGGGGAAATAATGACGGTAAAATTTGGTGTATAAAGAAGGAAATAATGACGGGAAAATCAGGTGTAAAAAGAAGGAAATAATGACGGTAAAATCTGAAGTAAAGAGAGGGGAAATAATGACGGTAAAATCAGGTGTAAAAAAAAGGAATTAATGACGGGAAAATCAGGTGTAAAAAGAAGGAAATAATGACGGTAAAATCTGAAGTAAAAAGAGGGGAAATAATGACGGTAAAATCTGAAGTAAAAAGAGGGGAAATAATGACGGTAAAATCAGGTGTAAAAAGAGGGGAGATAATGACGGTAAAATCTGGTGTATAAAGAAGGAAATAATGACGGGAAAATCAGTTGTAAATAGAAGTAAATAATGACGGTAAAATCTGAAGTAAAAAGAGGGGAAATAATGACGGAAAAATCTGAAGTAGAAAGAGGGGAGATAATGACTGTAAAATCTGGTGTATAAAGAAGGAAATAATGACGGTAAAATCAGGTGTAAAAGGAAGGAAATAATGACGGTAAAATCAGGTGTAAAAATAAGGAAATAATGACGTTAAAACTGGTGTATAAAGAAGGAAATAATGACGGTAAAATCAGGTGTAAAAAGAAGGAAATAATGACGGTAAAATCTGAAGTAAAAAGAGGGGAAATAATGACTGTAAAATCAGGTGTAAAAAAGAAGGAAAATAATGACGGTAAAATCTGGTGTATAAAGAAGGAAATAATGACGATAAAATCAGGTGTAAAAAGAAGGAAATAATGACGGTAAAATATGGTGTATAAAGAAGGAAATAATGACGGTAAAATCAGGTGTAAAAAGAAGGAAATAATGACGGTAAAATCTGAAGTAAAAAGAGGGGAAATAATGACGGCAAAATCAGGTGTAAAAAGAGGGAAAATAATGACGGTAAAATCTGGTGTAAAATGAGGAGAAATAATGACGGTAAAATCAGGTGTAAAAAGAAGGAAATAATGACGGTAAAATCAGGTGTATAAAGAAGGAAATAATGACCTTAAAATCAGGTGTAAAAAGAAGGAAATAATGACGGTAAAATCTGAAGTAAAAAGAAGAAAATAATGACGGTAAAATCTGGAGTAAGAAGAGGGGAAATAATGATGGTAAAATCTGAAAGAAAAAGAAGGGAAATAATGACGGTAAAATCAGGTGTAAAAAGAAGGAAATAATGACGGTAAAATCAGGTGTAAAAAGAAGGGAAATAATGACGGTAAAATCAGGTGTAAAAAGAAGGAAATAATGACGGTAAAATCAGGTGTAAAAAGAAGGGAAATAATGACGGTAAAATCAGGTGTAAAAAGAAGGAAATAATGACGGTAAAATCAGGTGTATAAA